AAACCCCTTTCACTTCTTGCACCATTAGCCGTGAGTCACATTGCAAACATGTGGGAGCTGACTCCTTGGAAATGGACACCAGAGAGGAGAAAGGAGGGCAGGGACAGGGATCTGCTGAGAACAAACTGTCCTTGACAAGTCACAGCTCTTCCATCAGTACCGTCTTCCCACTCTTCAGCCTCCCTTTATTATTGCTTGTCCTCTCCGATTGTTGTGCTTGGCCAAACCGTTTCCAGTTGTACTGGCACATTCACTGTTGCATTAGAGAACCAGGGTGGGTGGAAGAGGACCCAAGGAAGTCTTAGAAACAGCAAGATTCCTCATGGCTCATTAAATAAGTTGACACCCTTCCTTGCTGGAAGAGACACAGATCCATTCTCTCCAGAAAAAGGCATGAACCTCACACGTAACCCCCTCAGCTCTATACAACCCCGTTGGAATTTTCACCATATTCACCATATATGGGTTACAGTACTGTACCTGAGAAAGAACACACCTTTTGTGAAACTTCCCCTGACAGATGACCAAATCTTAAACCCCTCTCTTAGAAACTTTGCTGGTCATTCATTATTTTGAGAATCAGTGCTTTACTAAATTCAGTTTCTTGTCTGAGGACATATAATGGAGTAGAAAAGTCTCCTTGCATGCTATGTGCCAATTCAATCTTTCCTCTCAATGATAATTAGGATAATTTACCTTTGATTTTTTAGCTTCCTTTTTTCCCCCCTATTTCTCTTTGAGACAACTTGTATTTGCCCTGAGTGATGATAAAGAGAGCTCTAATTTCTCTCATTTATCTGGAAGGTTCTAGAGGAGCAATTGTGTGGGTAGTGAAACAGATTATAATTTCTAATCAGTTCTTTATTTTCCTGATTGATTGATAAAAATTTGACTTTAAGAGGATGTTTTTATTTCCCAAGAGAAATTCTTTAAATTTTCCTTAAATATGATAAGATAGCGGAAAATATTTATTTATGTACTCAAGAATATTTCCACTTTGGTAGAACATGATGGAATTCATACACATTATAACTGATCTTGAAATCACTAGTTGCTGATCTTGTTCTGAGCTAACTGGACCTGGCCCAACCAGGAGAGCTTGATAAAGATCTACGAATGCATTTTTCAAGAACTGCAAAATACTAATATTGACCGTGTCATCCAAAAGAACTTCCTGTGAGTCACCTACCATACCTGAAGATACCTGAACATATGAGCATGCAGAGGGTCCTATTGTGTTCACCAGACAGGAGCACCAGGTTGTGCTGGCTTCATCGAAGTCTGATTATCAGTTGTTGTGTTTTTAAATTTCTTCTGGCATTTTTTATAATGTGAGATTGTTGAGGCCTGACCTTTTGTTATAATTACAGTGGGGTTCGAGATGTTAAAGAAAAAAACATTATCAAAACCCAGCTCTGCCACTTACTACTGGTGTGACCTTGGGTGAGATAATTAACTTCTCTTTGCCTTGGTTTTCTCATCTTTAAAATGGGGATAATACTACTTCACAAGGTTGTAAAGATTGAACTAGATAATGATAATGTATATCAGCCAGAGAAGGGACAGTGATGGGAGAAGGGCTGTATATAGAAAGAAAGTAGAGCAGCAAGGGGTTGTGCGTGATGAGGCAGGCCGCTTTCATAGGACTGGGAGGAAAGGATGTTGATGTCAGAGCCAGGAGGGAAAATTCTGACTGTTTTGGTTTTCAGAATCTTTAGAACTAAGCAATAAAAAGAGAAATTCTTTTCAGAGAAATAAATGACATGGAAGTTAATTTCCAAAGTGTTAGAGAAGTAATATGAAATGTTTCAAAGATGTAAAAGTGAAAGTAAGGTCATTTTAGGCTGATCGTTTCTGGGATTTGCTCTCTCTGATTTGCTAGAAAATGCTATATTGAGTTCTTGCTATAAAGAAATAGAGGTTACTTAATATTTATTTTAATCACAACTGAAAAATAAGTGTCCTTGTACATGTTCCTAAGTCCTTCAAATGACCTAACATTGAAAGCATCCCTCTGTAAGAGGAAACTGAAGCACCACACTTTTTGCAGATACACATAGCCCTCCTAATGCACATTACCTGATACAAGCCCAGGAGGGTGTTTTAGAATAGGGTTGTCCTTGAATTATCTCCCTGGGCTCAATAAAGGTGCAAGTTACTAGTAAATGTCACAGACACAATAAAACAGCTACCGCCCAGGATAAGAAAGCTCGGAGCCTATAGACCCATTTGCTCAGTTTGAACCTGTGGATTCAGATTGTCTTCTCTCACCAATAGAAGGGCTTCCCTGCTGCCAGGGAGCCTCCACATCAGACAGCACTTGCATGGATCACACCCAGACATCAGCACTCCCTCCTCTGGGGAGATTCTGGTTGCCTCTCTGGAGTGTGTCCATCCCGCTGTTTTCCAGCCCACCAGTTCTGATCATCAGACTTCTTTGATGATGGGGTGTCCAAGAGTGCTTCTGGGAGAGAGTTTAAGTAGCTTAAATGTGTTGCCTTCTTGTCTGCACACAGATCCTGGATTCTCTGGCTGGGATAATGCTTTTGAAAGTGACCTGGCTCACCCCAAACCATAAAGCCCTTGAATTTGCCCACATGTACTGAGCCTACCTTACTTCCAGTGAATCATTTTGGGGGCCATTTCCTACCATTCTGGTGAGACTTTTCTAGTAGAGTTTTTCTAGGGATCCAAGGTGGTCCCTTTGGTCAGTCAGTTTAGATAGGAACAGATTACCTGTGTTCAGTCTATCCACCCAGACAGAGCAGTGTCTATAGCCGTCAGGGGAGTACACCTGTCTCAGGGGTTAGGAGGTAGCCCAGGTCTTCAGTCCTTCTGAGAGGGATACACTTGATACAGCAGTGAATGGCTGAGCCACCTCTTCTGCCTGGCCTCTCTGCCCATTCTAGGCATGAGTGTTCCTAACACTTAATATCACTAAGACGCCCACTTGTCAAAAGGGCCAGGTATTTGCCATTTATCAGAAGGGAACAGATTCTCATTTCAAGGTTCGGAAAAGTGCTACAGTGAAATGCCTAAATAAGTGAAAGTGCTTAGGAATTCCCTATTTCTCACATGACCGCAAAGGTCCCTGCCAGCTCTAAAACAATGAGTTTTGTGGCTCCAGCTGAGGAGAAAATGGCGGAAATAGGCTACGAAGATGAATAGGCATCTGCTAGTATACACAATGTGCAGAGTGAATGGATGCGACTGATTTGATAAATACTCCTATGTGGAGCACTTACTATGAGCCACTTCCGCTTTAGGTCCTGGGGATAGAACAGCGCCTGCCCTCATGGAGCCTTCTTCCTAGTGGGCTGAGCTAGGAGGTGAGAGCTCCCAGGACCCACAGGACACTGACAGCCCTCACTGCTACTCCTTGGAGGTTCTGTACCCTTCATCATTCTGAAGTCAGGGGGATGCGGCCTGAGAAGCACACTGATAAGGCTGTTACCGTCATAAATAAATCCAAATTAGCTCTAGTTTTCTACCCACCCCCACACCCTTGTTGGATGTCTGCATTTTCAACCGTTTTGTTCTCTGCTTGATCTTTATTCCAGCACTATGTTTATTTCTACTCAGGCTGGAAATAGAATACGCATTGGGGACTGTCTGAAATTGGAGCCTAATTATTTATCACATTGTCTTTCCTTAGTTTTTTGTTTAGCTGGTGGGACTGTTTATAGATTTTCGGATGTGTTTCTCACATATGCCCTACTTGGCCCTATTTACAAAAACCATAGAGAAAAAAAACATGCTTTTTTTTTTCCCCTCTAATTTTTCCCATGCTTTTCATCTTACTCTTTCCAAGCGGCATAAATATAACATCAATCATAGTAAACAGCTATTCACTAAGCTCTTACTAGGTGCTGAGTGTGGGGCAAAGCATTTGACCTGCATGACCTCGTCTGATCTTAGGAAACCTTTTGAGGCAGGTGATATCAGCATCTCCTTTTCCAGCTCTGAGAAGTGAATGAAGAGGCACCAGGTTACATCATTAGTACAAAATATTTTTCAAAGAATACCTCAAGGGCATTCTGATATATGACATATGCATTACAATTTCAAAATTTAATTTTTTATTATGACTTTTGAGTGGTTTGAGTTAAATTGAGAAATATCACACTAGGTCAGAACTAGGATTGGATCTGGCCACCATTCTGCTTTGGGCCATTGCTATGTTTTTATATTGGGTTGTCGGAAAAGTCATGACGCATTTTTGCAACGAAAAACAGAAAAAATATGTCATGACTTTTCCGACAGCCCAATAGAATAAGAGTACAGTAATACCTCGGTTTGCGAGCATAATTTGTTCCAGAAATAAACTACTCGTATTGCAAGACATCGCTTGTTTACCAAGTTAAAATGTATTATTAGGTTGGACCTTATTTATATAGGCACAGCATTTATCATGTATATTATAAAATATTTATATACGTATTTATCATCTGTCTAACATGGGCAATTCATGCAGCCTTAGACCACACCCTTCTTCTTTTCTGAAGCTCAGTGCTGGGCACACATTGGCATACAATGAACGTTCATTGAATATATAAATTTTTTAAATGCCCTAAGCATCCTAGCTATAAACTAACATAATAATTAGTTATATAAACTCATTATATATCCCTGAACTCACTGAAATTATTTTTGAAGCTTCTTTCCAACTTGTACCACCTCTTAACAGGTCGTATAAGTTAACTATCTGTTGGGTAAAATAGTGCTTTCTTTTATTTGTCGTAAACGTATTTCCTTCAAATGTTATAATAATAACATTTAAAAACAGTACCTTCCTTTCATCATATTGTATTTTTTTTGTTTTTTAATTTGTGACAACAAAAACATAAAAGGGGAGAGAGTAAAGGTCTGAACCGGCAAAGGAGAAGGGAGAAAGGAAGCATGCTGAAGAAAATGGAATACTCTAAATATGAAACTTTCTTTTACATAAACTTCATGGTAAGCATCATATTGTTTTTCAATGATTCTTTCATGTTTTCCAGGAAGGTGATGTCTGGCCCAACTCATCAGCTGAAATCACTGTGTACTTTAACCCCCCGGAAGCCAAAGTCTACCAACACACTGTTTACTGTGACATTTCAGGTAAAGACTTCCTGTATGTGGTAAACCCTGGTTACCGAGTGCCCAGAGAATCAAGTGGGGTGCCTGAGACTGTGTGTGTCTGTGCGCACATGTGCACGCGTGTATTCAGGCTACAGGCAGTGCACAGTATCCATAGGGGAATAATGGAGTCAAGCTATGCACTTCTCACTTCTTTCTAGAACAGATCAAACTTTGAAGTACATTACAGTTGTATGGTGTGTGGTGGGGGATGGAAAAACATGGATCTTGAATTCTAGAGCAGTAAGAACGTTCCTTGAGACAGATTCTTGCAATTTATTTTTTGTTCTTTTTATAGTATTTTGCTACTTTTTTTTAAAAGTTTTTATCAAAATAATGCATGCCAAGTGGGATGGGATGGAAGCCTGGCAGTGGCCAGAGCCACAAGGAGGGTGGCAAGCTGATGGCTTCAGAAGATTACACATAGAGAGAAGAATTAAGCAAAAAAGTTAACACATTAAAGATAACAAGAGTCAGTTGTTTTCACTCTTAGAGGAGGGAGATACAAATATGGAAAGGAGGAAGACCAAGATGAGCCCTTTGATACCAGAATGGAATTGGCGTTATCAGTATGAACCATGGTTGTTGATATGCAGAGGCATATATGTAAATGTGTGTATATCTTTATGTACATATATATGCATATTTCCTAGCTATGTCCATTGAGAGGTCCTGGAAGCTTTGAGACCCTAATAGCAATAAGCACACCTGGCACCCAATGCTTGGTTTCTAAATCCCACCCTCCACTAAAAGAAACCTTAGAGAATTGACTGGTTCCAGGACTGAAGCAGAGAAAGAACAAGATGAGCCTGGAACATCCTCTTGTGTTGGAAAGTAAGAGAATGCTCAAAGAACAACAAAACATGTCAAAAATGACAGAAACCAGCAAAGGGATGCCCACTGACCAAATTTAGAACGCGTTGAGAATCAAAATAATGACATTAATAAATTACAATCCATTGAGTAAATAGGAATCTGTGAGTCTACTCAATAAAATTTACCATTTGGCAATCATAGTAATAACCAACTCAAGTACAAAGCGTCAATGGATCTTAAAACTCATGGGTGAAAGTGGGGTGTGGAATAGGATTTTACGTAGTCTCAAAATATCCTTCAAAGTGAAGAGAAAATTAACTTTACACTGAATAAAGGTGGTAGATATTATCTTAGTTAATACCAGCAGTAATGAGCAAATCAACCTGTTGGACCACCTGCTAGGATGCAATGGAGAATACAGCATCTCTTCAATGATATTAGAGCCAAAATAGCTAACTTGGGTCTAATTATGGGGAAACATCAGACTAACCCAAACAGAAGAACAAAAACAATTTTCAAAAATATAATATCAAGGTCTTGAAAGTCAAGGAAGACTGAAGAACTGTTTTAGATTAGAGGGGACGAGAAAGACATGACATCTGGGACAGTGTGAGCCTGGATTGGATCTTTTGCTATAAAGATTATTGGGCAAAGGATGTATGGAGGTCCTTTGTACCACTCTGGGAACTTTTCTGTGTTTTACAAATATTTCAGAATTTTAAACAAACGCTGATGCCAATAAATAAGTGAAACATATAGACTGTAAGATTACAAAGCTAAATAGCAGTCTCTTTCTCCAGTACTGCTCCCAAGAAGAAACACTTTTAGCTGTTTCTTGTGGTGGTAATTTCCCTTGCTAATGCTATGCTTATATTTGTTATCAATTGCTATGAGTTATCAACTTCACACATTACTTTTAAGTCTCCAGTATGAAAGATGAAGATTTAGTTCACTTATATCTCCTCTACCTCTTCCTGGGCTTATTGAGTTAGAATTTACGAGCAGTGAAATTCACCCTTTTGGGGAGTGTAGTTCTGTGAACTGTGACAAACCTAAACAGTCATGTAATCACCACCAAAATCAAGTATTTAATGTCTCCATCACCACATAAAGGTCCCTCATGCCCCTTTGCAGGGAGCTCCGTCCCCCACCTCGGCCCTTGGCAACCCAATTATTTTAATATAGTTCATTTTATGAATTTATTTATAGCCATAATTAAGATACTTAAAACTATAGTTTTATTCCATCAACTCTATAATATCTCTTGATGTGTAAGGATATTGGGACCCCCTAACCTGCTCACCACCATCTCATGCTTTCTCCCTCTTAACTTCTGGGAGTTGCTTTGCTTTTATATTATTATCGCGATTGATAACCATATTTAAATCTTCTATTTTGTCTACATAAATTTTATACACTGAAGGGCCAAATTGTACTCTGGGATTGCATTTTATACTCTGTTGGCTGAGTTCTGACTTTTAGTCACTCAAAGAATGTCCCTAAGGTCTATATCAAGTAGATTTTTTTTTTTACCTGTCAATCAGTTTCTCACAATTATGCCTTGTTTTATCTTACTTCATAATTGACTTCACTCTTTTGGGCAGCTTTTGGGTTTCCCCGCATTGTGGTTTCTAATTCCCTATTTCTTTACTCCTATCTAATGTTAGAATTCATTCTCCTCTTCTCCTTGAAGACATTTTTCTCCGAGCCTACCAGCTTCTTCTAATTCAGATCAGTCACCTCCTACCAGAGTTGTTATCCAGGAATTCTTTTCTAAATTGCCTCGTGTGTTTCGTTACATCTCTTCACTTTCACTCGCTTAAGTAACCTCCTCAAAAAGGAGATATAAAAGAGAAACTTTGATCCTTGAACATCTCGTTCTGCCTCTGTATTCACTTGATAGTTTAGCTGACTATAGAATTCTAGGTTTAAAATAATTTCTCCTCAGAACTTTGAAGACATTGTATAAACTTTATTGTAAAAATCCAGATGTCTGAAGGTCACCTAATTCTCATTCCTTTATAGGGAGCCTCTTATTTCTCTCAGTCTTTTCTAGGGTTTTCTTTTTGTATTTGGGGTCTGAATTGTAATGAAGTTATGTCCAAGAGTGAGTTTTTTCTAATTCATCCTCCTCAGTTTTCTGTGGGCCATTTGAACCTGATTACTCATGTGTCACTTCAGCTCTGGGAAATTTTATTTTATTAGTAGTTTTACATACATTTTTCTACTTTTTAATTTTAGTCTTCTGGAAATCTTAACAGTCTAATGTTAGACTTACAGGATTGATCATCTGTTGTCAAAGAACAAACTTTTTTTCCCTAGAGTTTACATTTTTTCCCCTTTTTATTTATTTATTTATTTAATTGGGGAATTGGGGGAGGGGAACAGTTTTGGGGATAGGGGAACAGCCAAGTTGTTGTTATTCAGTCTTAGTTGTGGAGGACGCAGCAAGCTCAGCTCTAAGTCCAGTCGCGCTGCTCAGCTCAAGGTGCTGTGTTCAATTAGTTGCGGGTGGGTGTAGCCACCATCCCATGCAGGAGGCGAACCGGCAGCCTTGTTAAGAGCGCGCGCTCTGTCCCATGAGCCACCCGGGCGACAGCTCAGCTCAAGGTGCCGAGTTCAGTCTTTAGTTGCTGGTGGGTGTAGCCCACCATCTCGAACAGGCAACCTTGTTAGGACCACGTGCTCTCACCAGCTGAGCCATCCTGCCACCTGTTGGCAGCTCAGCGGCAGCTCAGCTCAGGGTGCAGCGTCACTGGCCCATGTGGGAATCAATCCGGCAACCCTGTTGCTCAGAGCTTGCACTCTTGAGCAAGCTCTTAACCAACTGAGCCATTCAGCCGGCCCAAGTACAAACTTTTAATCATAAAACATGAGTAATAAATGACATTAAATGCCATTCAAGGCTATTAAATAAGGATGCCCAGAGAAATACTGATATTTATTAGTCAGAAAATTCCAGGGTAGTGGGTGTCATGCATTCATAGTATTTCTTCCAGTGTCTTCTGGTCTATGGTTGTCCACTTGTATGTAAGAATGAAAAATATGGGTTTAATTTTCAGGATAGCTAGTGCTACTTGCCTCTGCTATTTTATGTGTATGTCTCCAAGGACTATAGCTTTGATGATTATTTTAAACTTGCAGATGGTGGGGTGGGGAGAGGAATAAGAGTGCACAATCATTAGTTTCTTCAAATGCAAAAATTCGACCATTTCTGCTATACCCAGAATGTTTCTAGTCAAATATCCGCGCAGTCACTTTTCTCTGAGTATAAAATAGTCAGGCAGTCAAAGAACAGTGCAGAAGGATGGGTTGCCCGACCCATAGCTACGCTACCCTCCCCCTCCTCCAGGTGTGTGTGCCTTTCTGATGATGCTCACTTCACCTTCCATGGTTCTCCATCACACTTTTTATGATAGTTGCTTTATTATTTTACTTTATAATTTTATCTCCTATGTATTCATCCCTAAACAAAATAGTATAGTTTTGCCAATATATATAATTTATATATTGAAATCTATTCTATGTCTTATGCTGTTAGCATCAGGAAGCTTAAAGCCACTCAAAAAATATTGACTACATGAATGAGCAAATAGATGGGGGAAAAAAGTGAGTAAGTGAGTGAATGAATCCTGGCTTGATCTGGTCTTTCCTTGCCCATGAATGTGGGATTCTCAGGATAGCCCCAGAATGAATGCAGAACTGACCAGAGTTTCTGCATTGACGTTTGTTTGTTTCTGCCCATCCGACCAGCATCATCTATCCCAGACTTCTTAATGGGTCTAAAGGAAATGTTGGTACATCAGTGTTCAGATACAGCCTGGAAATGCTCCAGTGGCCCCCATGCCACAGGTGGCAGGACCAACCCCCTCTCTGTGTCTCCCCTGGAACGTGTGCTTGGCCAAATTCCAAGGGGTTGGCTGCTCTCCGGGAGGTTCCCAAACATGACATAACTAGTTGTATTTATCTATTGTTTCATTTGCAATTCTGAATTCTGCTACATAATTCACATTCTGGGTAAACTGAATAGTATAATTTTCCATCTGCATGACATTCTTCTGTATTTTCTTAGTGGTATTTTAAAATATGCAATTTCCAGGGAAGGGCTTTGTTTACATAGTAATTCCATATTATCTTCCCTGTAAATTCCATGCAATTCTATGTGT